CACAGCTCAGACAGATCCCTGGGGAAGGAGTGGAAGATTGGGAGTGGCTTTCCCAAAGAGCCAGACCCCCCAACATTTGCCCCAAGATGGGTCTGATCATGGCCCCCATACAGAATGCGGTCGTATTCTGTATTGTTTTGCTATCTCTGAAGCCAGCTCTATTTTAGTGTTTGTCTTTTCCTTTCTCTTCTTTTGGTTCTTCGAGACAGGGTTTCTCTGTGCAATAGCCCTAGCTGTCCTGGAACCAGAGATCTGCCTGCCTCTACCTCCCGAGTGCTGGGATTAAAGGTGTGCGCCACTACCACCTAGCTATTTTAGTGTTTTTCAAGACAGGGCTTCTCTGTAACAGCTTTGGCTGTCCTGGAACTCGCTGTGTAGATCAGGCTGGCCTCAAACTCAGAGATCTCCCTGCTTCTGCCCTGGAAGCAGGTGTGCACCACCTCCACCAGGTGATTATTTTAAGTTGTAAGGCATGGGCTTACTTTGTAGCTGAAGCTGACCTAGAGCACAGTCTGACCCAAGCAGGCCTGGAGCTCTCATGTCAATCCTGCTTCTGCCTCCGGAGTGCTGCTTCTACAGGTGGGAGCCATCATGAGCTGCTTTTTGTTTTTGTTATTGTTACATGACGTGACAAGCTATTTCGGGGCTCTTTGTTCCTGTACAGGGTTTCCCCACAAATCCAGCCAATCCCTCCCTTCCTTCCTCTCTCTCACACTCTGCCCTGGGATCCACATGTCCTCAGGAATTCCGAGAAACTGAGCAGGGGCAGCTTGAGGGTTGGGCTCTGAGCAGGGACAGCTTGCTGGCATGTGACTGTGACTCAGAAGCCTGAAAGATAGGCGTGGAGTATGTAATGCCATTGGCTCTTTTCTGTCCCGCCACCGCTTTATGAAGGAGAGAGATTTGGAGAGCCAAGTTCAAGATCAGTTAGCTGGGGAGCAGCCAGACTGGGTAGAGGCCAAGTCAGATTCCTAGGGCTCTTCAAGCCACATGGCCAAGTAACCTACAAACCCTTTCCTCCTCAAGGGTCACAGCATCGTCATCAGTAGATGTAATAGAGGAAGGGCCCGGGTGAATCCTCCACTGGCCTGGAGGAAAAGGAGTTTTAAACCATGGGCCCACGACTTAAGTGCATTATAACAGAAATGGGATCCTAAAACCCATTCTATATAATTAATACATGCTAATAAAATTTTTTAGAAAGTAAAAAATGCTTTCTTTTGAATTAAGTTTGCCTTTATCTCTGCTGTGTGTGGGATAAGCATGTAGAGTTCAGAGGTCACCTTTTCTCCCACTGTGGCTCTGAGGACTGAACAGGGTTACAAAGCAAGTGCTTTTACCTGCTACGGCTGAGCCGTCTTTCCGACTGCACTGTCTTTCAGCTTCCAGCAGCAGAAGCAGAGAATAAAAAAGCCTGTCTCAGGCTGGCCCTCCTACCTTGCTGGCACTGGGGTCTAAATCACTAACGGAAATTTCTCGGGACCCTGGTCATAGGTCCTGTTTGGCTGCTGTGGTCCTGGAGACCCTGGCCATATGGCTTGTTTGGCTGCTGTGGTCCTGGGAAAAGCAGGTACTCTGAATCTGTTTGGGAGATTTCTCAGAATGGTGAGTGGACTAGTCCCTTGATGCAGCTCAGTAAGAGACTAGAAAATGACTTGGGACTTAGGGAGGTCTGCAAAGGGGCAGCCACAGGTTTCAGATTTCACCATGAGCTTGAAGACTGGGAGGCTGGGAGACACCTTTCTCCTGGCTGATGCCTAAGATCTGGGAAACTAAGGGAATGTCACTTATGGTTGGAGACTGGCTGATGTGGGAGTGTCATATATCAATCTGTTGATTTCATTGGTTAAGCAATAAAGGAACTCCTTGGCCCTGATAGGTTAAAAGATAGATGGGAGGAGGAAACAGAATAGAATTCTGGGAGGAAGAGGAAGTGAGGTCAGACTCTGCGCTGCTTCCAGAGGGACCGGACAGCCGCCATGCTCTGCTCTCCCAGGCAGCTGCAACCCACGATGGACGTAGGTTAGAATCTTCCCGGTAAGCGCACCTTGGGGTGCTTACACACATCATTAGAAATGGGCTAGTCCAGGTGCGAGAATTAGCCTGTAAGGGCTAGAGTTCATGGGCCAAGCAGTGTTTCAATGAATACAGTTTGTGTGTTATTATTTCGGGCATAAGCTAGCCAAGCGGCTAGGGTGTTGGGGACGCAGCCCTGCAGCTCCTATTTCAACAACTGGCCAGGGATGTCTGGATACTGATGGCCTCTGACTTAGCTGCTGTTAAGAGTTAAGGTTGGCTGATTAACGGCATTTCAGTCTTGCGTATGTGTACACAGATGATTACTATCTGCTCCTCTGTTCTTTTTACTCTGAGACAGGGTCTCATGCCATCAAGGCCGACCTCACATTCACCATGTACCCAAGGATGAACTTCAGCTTCTGATTCTCCTGCCTCCATCTTCCAAGTACTGGGATTATAGGTGTGTGTCACCATGCCTGGGTTTATGACGCCAGTAACGGACTTCGTGCAAGACTAGCACACTACCAACTGAGCTGTGCATGTCTTAAATCTTCCGGAAAACCAACACATGGGACTTCATGGTTCCAAGGTTTTAAAGATTTTTACTTAAAAGATTTATTTTCGTGTTTGACTGCATGCATGTGCATATACCGAGTACATGCCTGGTGACCTTGGAAGCCAGAAAGAGGATGACAGCTCCCTGGAACTGGAGTTACAGATAGGTTTGCGCTGCCCTGTGAGTGCTGGCAATCAAACTCAGGTCCTCTTCAGGAGTGCCAAGCGTCCTTATCCACCGACCCGCCTTTCCTGGCTCTTGTTTCTGTTATTTTAAATAGTATGCATCCATGTGAGGGCAAATACACCGTGGGCAGCACCACTCAAGTTCCAACACTTTGAATGTCAACTCCAAATTTCTACATAGGGACAGAATGGTCGAACTTGGGGCTGGAGAGATGGTTCTGTGGTTAAGAACACACAGGACTCTTACAGAGTGCCCAAATTAAGTCCCAGGTCCTGTGCCAGGCAGCTCACAATTGCCTGTAACTCCGGCTTCAAGGGGTTCTGACATCTCTGGCCACTGCTGGCACCCGTAGGCACACTCACATACCTGCCCCCCATTTAAAATAAAGTGGACCTTAAAGAATTGTGGAACTTAAACTTTTGGTTGACAGTTCTTCTCTCTCCCCTGTATCTGTGTCCCTCTCATTTCTTTTCTCAGCTTCTTGAGGCCATTAGATAGGTAACCTGGGCTGTAAGGTGTCCATACCAGAGGGCTGTCTCTTACTGTTAGGAAGTGTTTGGCTACTTACCACTGATTAGGAAACAGTCTTTCTCTATAACATAGCCACCACGCAGTCTGGGAGACCAGACAGAGGTAGTGTGAAAACAGATCTCTGAATCATGACTCAAAGTTAAATCTATTCTGTAAGAGGGAGGAAGAGCGGGATGGAATTCCCTCTGCGCGTGTTTTACGGCCTTCCATCAAGAGGCCTCTCTAGGGAAACACCTTTCTGGGGTTTCAGTTTTCCAGAGGAGGTGACTTGCTCTTCCTTCCCCTGGGTCATGAGGTAGCCCCCACCACACCTCTCCAGAGCCTGAGCCCCCTTGCCTGGAGACTTCTCCTGGAAAGAAGACTCCATACCTACACCCTTTCCTAAACCTTGCCTCTCCAGCAAGGTACAAGTGGAGAGAGGGGAGCCCCGTTTGCACAGATGTAGGCTTCTCATGTCTGACTTGTACAGCCGAAGGCACGCATATCCCAAGGTCTGTGGTAGACCCAGGACGTGCTCCCCAATGACAAATTCACCTCTCACCTTACAGAAGCACAGGGCCGCTCTCCTCTATGCTCTTAGGACAGGAGGCAGCTGCGTGGGCGGAGGCCAGGAATGGTGGTTTCTTGGGAGGAAAGTGTTTCTGGCTGCCTGCCTAAAGCTACCATTTCCTGCCACCTGGGGTTGTTGTAAAGCTTGGCCACAGTCCACCTGTTTCTCAAGCTTACTATGTGAAAACTCGGGGAGGGGAGAGGGAGGTAAAAAAATGGCTGGGCCCAGGTGTCCGCGCAGCTCCAGCTGTTTCCTCAGGAGTCTAGGGTCCCAGTGATGTCTATCCCTCCTGAGGGGGCTCCTTACTTACTCCTTTTCTCCTTCCATTACACATGGGCCATGGCCAGTGGGTCTTCTCTCTGGAAAAGCTGGTGGCTCAGCTGTTTTGACTGCTCGCCCTCTGAACCAGTACCTGCCATCTTGAGGAGTTCAGTTGCACCCTTTTGCAAAAAAATGCATCCCCATTAGGTTTGTTGATGATTCAGGTCCTTGTGGAAGGGTAGGAGGAGTCACAAGACCCTCACCCAGCCTTTGCCTGCTACCTGTTGTATACAACTCTGTCTTACTTGCGGGTGGCCTGGGTTGCCTGTGGCATGGGCTAGTTACATAGGTGGGGGAGTCTAGGGGTGGGGGACTCAATCTCCATGGCTACAAGGAAGCCCTCACCTCTGCTGGAATCCTGCCTTGGGTTGACATTGGAACCCTAAGAATTTGAGCAACACCAGTCTTTTTTTTTTTTTTTTTTTTTTTTTTTTTTTAAGACAGAGTCTCTCCAGAAGGTCCTGGAACTTGCTTTGTAGATCAGACTGGCCTTGAGTTCGCAGAGGTCACTTACCTCTGCTGCTTGAATGCTGGGATTAAAGTTAAAGGCCTGTGCCACCATGCCCTGCTGCGACACCAGTCCTAAGGGGCTGGCTCCGACTTCCTTGGCATTACTCAGTGCTTCTTGTTAAGCAGGGTGCTGCAGAGAATTTCTCAAGAGCTAGCTCCTGATGGCTGCGTCACGACAACACAGAGGGTTCACAATCACAAACCAAATGAAAAGCTATATTCTTTGAGCAACCTGTCTGTATACACTCACCTATAAGATGCATGAATGACTTGTGTAGATACATGGAAATGTGTCTTGGCTCAATGCCCAGAGGGAAAAAAAATGGCTTCAGAAATAGTCTTTATTTCTTAAAAAAAGAAAAAAAAACTTTATTGCGCATAAAACAGACCGTTCCCTCTTGTGGGTCGTTTTTACTGTGGTACTGGGGATTGAACCGTGGGCCTTATGCATGCTAAGCACACATCCTACCACTGAGCTATATTCCCAGCCCCTGATACTTGTTGCCCCTGCCCCCACTCTTTCCTCTCCTGTCCCAGTGAAAATGTCTTATCTTTTAAAGTCTACAGTTGCTGGTCAAAATTATCTTAGGATGGCCGCTGGAGGAAAAGGTCCTTTATCAGCTGAGCAGGGTTAGAACCTGGGGTTCTGGCCTGGCTCTCATTGGGGAGCAGGGGGCAGTCTTCTGCTTTAGGGGTAGAGGCTGGTGCCTCATGTACTATCCGTAGCCTTGAGTTTGGGCTCACTCAAACACACTCTAGCATCTTATGCATGTATGAAGGGTGTGGCTATATATACCCTTTCTTCCCGGCCTTCAAGTGAAGACGGAATTCCTGGGAAGAACATCTGACCAGACCTGCATGCATTTCCAGAGGTGGAGAACATTTCCTGTCTCGAGTCCCCGGATTGCTGAAATCGACGTCAAACTAGTGGTTACAAATTGGGAGCCAAAAAAAGGTGCTCTACGAGAACCCCAAGTCCTCATGCTGCCGCGGCTGGGGAGCTGGGGACGTCTCCCAGGCTGGTGGATTTCTGCCCCCTTCCTAGTGACTGCAGGAAGCAGCGTGTGCTTTGGAAAGATCAACAGGGTCGTGGCTGACCAGGACAGAGGAGGGAGGGGACACCCACGAGGCCACAAGAGGCGCTGCGTGCCCCTGCATCCTTCTTGAGTCACTCAGGAAATGGGTTCTTTCTTGTGGGTTAGCAGAAATGACTGGCTGAGCTTCCTGGGATTGCCAGTGGCACTGGGGAGGCGGACAGGGTTAAGAAGGCCACACAGGCGATAAAGGTCCTGTCCAAAGTCCAGTCTGATTGGCAGATTGTGGTTGAAAAATGGAATCCAGAACATCCTCCTCTCCTCGTTTCAGACAGAGAATAAAAATAGCAGTAATGCCACGTCAGAGACCAGGAACTGATGATGTCAGAGATGCGGTGGTTGCTGGCAGCACACCTGTCTTTCCACAGGAAAGAGGGCAGCTTTCGCACGAGGAGAAGGGTGAGATTGCTGTTTGCTCCTCTGGAGTTAGATGGATGTTCAAGTTGAGGCACAGTGTGGTTCCCACAGGAAGACCAGGGCGAGTGTGGGCCCTTGGCAGCCTTGAAGGGCGGCCAGGGATGGCATATCTTTTTCCCAATCTCCTCCCAGCAGGCCCAGCTGGCATACCCTTTTCCAGATTGGTGTGGCACCCATGCACTGGTCCATGGAGAGAGAATCACCCTGGCCCCCATCACCGGCCTCTGGGTGAACCACAAGAAATGAGCAGTTTGGCTTATGGAGCTGGTTACATGGTGCTTGTTGGCTCTTGCCAGGCCAAGAAAATCCTAGTACAGGCAGGGAAGGTCAGAGTGGCTGGCGTGTTGAGGGGAGGCCAGCGCACACACACCCCTCCAGCTGGACCAGGGCATTGCCATCAGCCGGCCTGAGGACAAGGTCACACTCCACTTGGTCCCAGCCAGCGTGAGGAGGGGCTACCCTCCATCTTTAACATCTGTACAGGAAGTAAAACCTTGGCAGCAAAACTGGACAAAGTGGGTTCCGCAGAGCCCACGATTCCAAGAGCAGAGGCCACAGCAGCCGGTCTGTCTCCAGGCCTGGCCTCCTAGTGCTGAAACGCATCCTCCCAGAGAGGCAGCTCCCCTGTAGAAGTCCAGTGCCAGCAGGGACAGGGTGGTGGGTGGAGGAGGGGACAGAGAAGCTGTGAGGAAGGACCCACAGGGCTTTGAGCTGCCCCCTGGTCCGACGGCTAATAAATATGCATGTAACAAGATCAGGTCAGTTTGCCTCAGGGCTGCAGGGCTGCACAGAGCCCTCTCAGTCAAGTCCTACGCGCAGGTGACAGGCAGTCAGTGTCTCTAGTAAAGGTATAAAAACGAAGTTGCTTCCTTTCAAGTATTAAAAAAATAAGTTAATCGACAAAAAGGGTCCGAAGTGGCTGAGTGTCTGGGCAGGTTGTCAGTTTCCTTTCGATGTGCAAACACAGAAAAATGCTGAGGAGAGCCATCTCCTGTACTGCCGTGGGTGCCGACCAGGGGTGGCGCCTGTCTGTCGACATGTAGGGTCTCCCTCAGCTCTGCCACAATCAATACTTTCCAGTGTCAAAATCGTCGTGAACTATAAGCAAAACACAGCAATCTGCGGGCCTCAGGCCACTGCCCATGTGAGAGGCCCGGGGCACTTGGCCACTGGGAATCCAGTGTGTGGCGGGCCGGGGGCAGAGCCCTCCTGCGCCCTCCTAACTTGCATAATGAACCTGCTTACTGTCTGGCTTCCCCTGCAATGGGAGGGTGGGCATCACCCTCATCACCCCCACGGGTGCTGCTCCCTGCTGGATCCCCTCCATCCACAGCTTCTCTGCAGATGCTTCTGCACTTTCTTTGGTGGTGCTTCAGGAAGCACGAGGACAGTAGCCACTTGGCTCTTCAGGTGCTCTGGGTGGCAGTGGCTCTGAAGAGGAGTCACTTCCCTCTCTTACCAGCAGAAGGAAGGAAGAGGTGCCAGGCAGCAAGCCCTCGGGGACCTGCAGGAGTGTCCCCTGTGGCACATGCCAAACACCCGTCTCGTCTCCTCCCTCCTGAATGGGAAGTCCCACACGGCCCTTCACCTCAGATGATAACCCTCGCCTGGGGTTTTCCCACAGCACAGGTGTCTGTGAGCTACCTTCCAGGCACGCCAGGTCTCTTCTGAACCTGGATCTGGTGGGTCGGGATAACGCAGCCGGGTGAGGTGGGTGCCAATCAACCAAACCCAATGGTAGCCAGGCTCAGGACCAGTCCAGGCTGAAGCCCTTGCACAGCATAGCAGCCTCCAGGTCCTTGTCTTCCTCTTTCTCCCGCAGTCGCTGCTCTTCCAGCAGGGCCACCAGTGAGTCTCTCTGCTCCACCACCTCCAGCATCTCGTTCAGGATCTTCTTCTCCTCTGACAGCTCCTCCTCGGTCTTCAGGTGATCTGCCGAGTGGCTGATGGCGTCAGGCGTGTGGCCTGGGACAGTGGCCCACTTCACCCTCCACCCCACTCGCCTTCTGCTCACCTTCCACAGCCATGCGCTCCCGAAGCTCCTGCTGCAGCCGGCTCTGGCGGTCTTCCAGCTCCAGCTCCCGGGCACTGGGGAGAGGCAGCAAGAGTGACTTGGGGACCAGCCCTCCCACCGTGCTGCGATGTACCACACGCTGGCTCTTCCCGCCCCCTGCAGCTGGCTCCTGAACCCCAGTTCACTCACAAGATCATCAGCTCCGACTCATAGCGCACCATGGCATTTTTCTCCTGCACCAGCTTGAACCACTCCTGCATCAGCTTGGGGTCATCCTTTTTGCCCATGCCTGTGTGAGAGACTGAGGGTCAGACAAGGGGATGGGTCTGTTTGCCCAGCCCAGAAGGATTGTCACACTGGGGCAAATGTGCAAAGAGCCAAGCAAGATGCTGCCGGAACAGTCCCAAGCCAGGTCCAAAGTTTGCCTACAGCCCTGACAGGGAGACGGGGACAGAGAACGACAGGCCACTGTGTCGTGCCCACCCCAGGGCCTGACAGACCTAGACTTTCCCTCAGTCCTGCCCAGGCCTTGTTCTGGGTGACTGACTGTTCCTTCTATACGAGCTTAACACTGCCTTGCTCAGTGATACAAGTGTGCGTGCATATGAAATGGCCCGCTCTCCCCTCGGTACTAGGTCTCTTTAGAGGAAAACAGTCTAATAAACAGGAGGAGTATAAATTTACAAACTACACCTTGCCTTTGAGATTAGGTTTCATATAACGCAAGCTGCCCTTGAACTCCCGATCCTCCAGTCTCCACGCTCCCACATTCTGAGATTATAGGCACGTGTGCCACCATGCCCAGTCCTACACTCTGCTCTTAAATTACTTTCTTTTGACCCTGTTTCTTCCTGGGCAGCTGTCTCTTTCAGGGGCCCCTGACGCTTCGCCACCGCTTCCTTGTTGGGGTCAGGAAGATACCACGTCTTGGTTTTGTTGTGCATTCACCTAGACACATGCATGCTAGGCAAGTGCTCTACCACCGAGCTACACCCCCTGCCCTAAAACACTCCCTTCTTAGCACGCGGCCCGACAAACACTGCAGCAGAATCTGCATGGCAGATACAAAGCATCAAGGTGGCTGTCACCAGCGGACCCCAGAGCTGAGGAGGGCAGCTGTTCCTACTCTTCGGGCACCTGTTGACTCGACCTGCCCCTCAATCAACGTTTGCCTCAATCAGGAGTAGCCACACCCCTGGGCTTAGCTGTAGCAAGGGCATGGGGGAAGGACCCCCCCCCCTTTTTGAGACAGGGTTTCTCTGTGTATCTCTGGCTGTCCTGGAACTCACTCTGTAGACCAGGCTGGCCTTGGACTCAGAGATCCGCCTGCCTCTGCCTGTCTCCCTGAGTGCTGGGATTAATGGCAAAGGCATGAGCCACCACTGCCCGGCAAGGAAAGGTTTTCTAAGGAATCAAACCACCCAGAAAATAACAAAGTCCTTCTGCTTAGTGTGCAAAAGCTGTCCATGTGACCTTGCCCTGGAAGCACACGGTGGCTCCTTGCCCACAGGGATATAAACTTCCTTTCATGTTATTTTTGTGTGCCGGAGATCAACACAGAAGCTCATATGTGCTAGGCAATGCCCCACTGCTGAGCACACTGCCATCCCAACATCCAGTCATTTTATACAGAACTTGGGGTGTTCAAGGGCTTCCTAAAGTTTATTCACAGACCTCAAGTTAAGAGGTGTCAGGCTGGAGCCCTCTAAGTCCCCTCCACTTGCTTGGTTGGGTGGTCCAGTCTCAAGAAGTGCTCTAGTTTATATAAGATATGGCCAGCATCCTTAGGTAGGTGCTGGTCCCGTGTGAGGCTCTCTTGCTCTAGCCTGCTTCTTCCTGATTCTTTCACACTAGTCAAAGGCCAAGCTCTTTCGCTGTATGCTGGACACGTCAGACCTAAGCCTAAGTCTTCAGCCAGTAACCACACTTCGGACACAGAACTGACGCACGCAAGGGTTAGTATCAGACCATGCCAAGCACACGTGCACCCTTCTTCCTGATGTGAAGGCTCCCGGCCCTGAGCTCTGCTTTCAAAGATGGACGCCTCCATCCCGGCCTGTCGAGCCTGCCTACAGGTCTGGGGGTCCAAACTCTCCTTCCCCACTCCAATAGACTTGGGTCTTTGGCTTCAAAGCAGCCTACAGCCCAGTTCCACGCATTCCTTCTGGAGCGTCTCTGCACAGTGTGCCCATGTGGCCATGGAGATGAAGCCCTTGAGACATGCAAGTTGTCCAGAGTGGCAAGCCACGAGCGTACCAAGTCCGTCCCTCCTTCCCACCTCCCAGATGTAAAGACCCCCAATTCCACCGGGGACACTGGGACACCGCTCATGAGCCGTGTTGGAGTTCAGTCACAGCCCATGAGCAGGGGAATGTGGTGGGGTGGGTGGTCAGATGTGAGAGCCATGGGGAGCAGAGAAGAGGTTAGCAGGGTTAGTCATGGCCACACGCCCCTCCCCCTGCCCACATGCCTTGCCAATGACAATCTTATCACCACAACAGACTTCAAATCGGACAAACTTAAAACAAAACAAGACACACTCAGCAAGACACAAGGTAGAGAAGTTTGTTTTCAGTGGTTGCTCTGGGGGGAAACAACAAAACTTGGGGGGCATTTGTGTAGACCAGTCTTTGTAAGGACAGTATTCCTTGACTCTGCCAATGCAAACTGTCGCCACCCCTACTCCTGGCCCTCTTTATGCCGGGCTTGACCTTACTGGACCCAAGGCCCCAAGCACCAATGATAGGCAGAACCACAGAACTGCAGCCTGAAGACACTGGAGCCCACAGGCTTGCTGGCTCCCCTCGGTTCCCATCCTCCCTTAGATAGTCAAAGGGATACTGTGCCTTGTAAGAAACTGCCACATACTCATGACATTCTGAAGTCAGAGAGAGGAAGTCAGAGAGAGGCCTTGGTTCCCTGTTGGACTATGGTGGCTGCGGCCCCTCGGAGGCAGTGGGGAAAGTGGGTGAGGTTACGTTACCTTCCTGGACACAGCAAGGGCAGAAGGAGAGAGGTCTGCGCCGTGGAGTCCCGCCACTGGGCTCAACTTCAAAAGGACCAAACAAGGAAGAGGAAACAGAGAAAGACAAAGGAAGCGGGAAAGGAGGAGAGGAATTTGGAGGTGGAAAGGGACAGGGAGAGGGTGAAATAAAAACAAGCAGAGGACAAAAAACAGAAAAAGTGAGAAAGGAACAACAGGAAGAAAGGAAAAAAAATCCACAAGAATGGAGAAGCAGAAACAGGGGAACAAGTCTACAAATGAATCAAGTCCTTTCCTTCAGCATGGAATCAAACAAGAGCAGGCGAGGGCATGTAACAACACTGGAACACTGTCATATGGTGGCCCTGGGCTCCTTCCTTAAAGGTACCCAAAAGCCTTGGGTAGGTCTGCCTACCTCCAAGCAACACTTTCTAAATATGCAGCCAGCGCTGCTTCCGGGTGTGCCGGAGGTCACTGGGGTGACCAACGAAGTCTACATAAACTGGTCATCACTAACATGCGTGCTAAGGTTCAGCTATCTTTTCCATAACTCCAAGGGGCAGGGAGGGTCAGTCTGTCACCCTTGGCCATCATGCCCACAGAGAGGAACTCAGAGTCTGCACAGTGGCATCTTACCCTTGTCATGGGCCCGCAGGGCTGAGAGATGCATGGCTTTGTATTCTGAACCAGCAAAGTTAGGGGGAAACTACAAACACACGGGAATCACTTCCCTCCCGTGGGCTACGGAAAACCAACCACCACCTTTTCTTTTGGCTCTCCCGCCTTTTGGAGGCATCCAGTGCCAGCACTGAGGGATGGTATCACACTGTAGACTGTAAGACCAAAGGGGGTGAGCTGGCAGGACAAGTCAACAACTCACAGCGACGCTACTGGTAAGAGTAGTGATTGGCAGTGAGAGGAGACAGTGTGCAGAGATCTGTAGACCTTGGGGAGACCTGATCACTATTCGAGGGAGAGGGAGGGGAGCTGAGCAAGGGACCATCACAGAACCACAGGAGCACACACAGGACACAGGAAGTTCCAGGAGGGTAAGGCCTCGGGGCCATGGCAGGACAGGGACATGGGTGGCCCACGACGACAGCAGGACTCAGGTTCCCAGACGGCTAAAGCGAAAAGCTCCTGTTGGACTGGCCGTTCTACACTGCAGTGGGATAAATGCAGGGACCACAATTTCTTTCTTCTTTAAAGCCCCTCATGTCCTACTAAGCACGTTGTGCACAGTAAACCCGATACTTGGGTACAACCACCAGACCAAAGCCACAGACAGTGTGTGAAGTGCTTTTATCCCATCCCAACGGGCTCGGCCTTGACAAGCTGAGGTCTGCGTCCTTCCCAAACATGTGCTCTGCCATAGCTGACCTACTCAGCCTGCTTGGCTTCGAAGCATAAAGTCTAGGTGGGGCTCGGATACATGGACAAATCCCATGAGTATTACATCAACTCTCTCTGTCACCTCCTGGGACTCTAATGACAAAAGAGTAGGTAGCAGTGTAGCTAGAATGGTGTAGTGACAGCCGCACTCATTAGCAAGGGACAATGACGTAATATGTAAGCAATGCACATCCAAAATCAGGCAGGTGCCGTCACACACACACACACACACACACACACACACACACACACACACACACACAGTGTGGAGTAATCCTTTTGTACATTGAAAATGTGTTGCTCTCATTGTTAATAAAAAGCTGATTAGCCAATAACTAAGTAGGATTTTTAGAGCAGAGAGAATGCTGGGAAGAAGAAAGGCAGAGTTTGAGGAGTCTCGAGTGAGACTCGAAAGAAGCAACACGTGAAGTTCGTAGATGAGGTAAACGAGCCACGGGACAGCACGTGGACTAAATGGTTAATTTAAGTTGTAAGAGCTGGCTAGAGATGAGCCTAAGTGATAGGCCAAGCACTTATTTTTATTTTTTAAAATAATTTATCTATTTTTATTTTATGTGCATTAGTGTTTTAGCTGCATGCATGTATGTGTGAGGGTGTTGGGTCCTCTGAAACTGGAGCCACAGACTCTAGTAGCTGCCATGTAGGTGCTGGGAATTGAACCCGGATCCTCTGGAAGAGCAGCCAGTGCTCTTAACCACTGAGCCATCTCTCCAACCCTGGCCGAGCATTTATAGTTAATAATAATTCTGTGTGGTTATTTGGGAATGACTGCCAGGACACAGAAAACTCCACCTACACACACATGCGCTAAAATGCACCTAAACAGTGTCTGGACCTCACACAATAGACCCTGGGTCCTTTCATCTTGACCACGTTCCTCGTACAACCTTTAT